CATATATTTTTTTCTTTGTCTGGAACTCGAATGTTTTTGTGCTATGAATATATACTTTTTTTATATAAAGTTTGATGAAACCCCTGGGGTTCATGGGGAGGACAAGTTGTTAAAAATGAAATAATCTTGCGACCAGACGACCGTGCGTTTGTCAGTCATCTAAATTCTTTTCTCCGGCAGCCTTGCGATAAATGCTTGTAAAAGCAAATCCTTATAATTCGAATGTAACGGATATTTTTGCTTACTAGGTTAGTTTATTATTTCCTTTTTCTCGGATTAATTACACTTGCATTATTTCAGTTTAATATATTTTTGTGTAAGATGTGATATGAGTATAATTTTAAAAAATATTGGGCAACATGTTCTTCATGCGAGAATGCCGTTTATTTCTTTAGTGTAAAATTATTATTTATTTCAATAGAAATGTGTAGCCTTCAGATTCCAAACACGAAAAGCCATTTAATACACTCAGATGAAGCTGAGACAAGGGTGAGTGGAGCGAAGCGAAAACGTTCGTTGAATAACTAGAAGAGGCGCCTAGTTAGCTGCGAAAATTTAGAAATTCTTTTTAAAAACGAAATTATGGTTGTTAACTTGGTATTAGAAAATTAGCAATTCTTTTTAAAACTAATTATGGTTGTTAACAAATTTGAAGCATTGTTTTAAAATCATCATATTTAAATTAACAAAACTTTATAAAACTCTTAATAGCTCTTTCATTCTCTCTTCTACATGGCTGATTGCCTGATTTCCTTGGACCAACTTGCGTAGTTATTTTCTCGAATGATATGGTGCTTCTCATTTTACATTTGAGACAGCATAGTGTCAGCATATTAAGCCGCTAAATGCTATAGTGCTTAGTATGCTGACTGTCGTATCGATAGATACAGGCATGGATCCAGAAGGCATGAATGCTTGGAAGCCTGTAAGGCAAGGTTTATCGACCAGGAATGTGAACAGTGAAAGAGTTTCATAAGATAAAAAAGTTTGGGACTACTTCTATGCTGCCTGTGCGGGAAGGGAAATACACTCAAAATACATGGTACACCGAAAGTCCTCTCTTCTTAATAGGGTAAGGAAGGTGAAAGATCCTCGGGCCGCCTCACGGGATATTCTTACCCAAAATCGGGTGGAATTTTAACAAGTATTAAGGCCTAATGGTATCTAACATACATAGTGCACAGGTGCAAGCCTTGCTTCCATCTCTACTCGTCAACATAATAAGCAGAAAAATACTTTATATAAATTAACTGATTTCTTTATCGCGTTAACGCAGTCAAGTTTCTTTGATACATATTCTTTACGATTTTCATTAATTCTTTGAAAAGGGTTAGGATGAGTTTGTATTGTAAGAAATCCAGCTGAATTAAGAGAAGAATTAATAATATGAATATCTTCTCAAAAGTGCCACGATTTCATTCCTCTCTAAATCGAATTTTGGTGAACAAATTCCGGGATTGATTACTTGGTTTTTTCACGTTTCCCACTTGTGTAACGTAATATGACCCAGCTCCAACTTAGGAATTTCTTCACGAAGACATCCCTTTCTTTAGACAAATAGTTCTCGAGTACTTCGCGGTGCTGAATTAAATACAAAAACATAATGAAGGGATTATTATTTTCTTTACGGCATAACGAAAGTATTTTTAAAAACGTTCCGTAAAAGTGAATAATTGCTATAAAAGTATATCAACATAATTTGAAAAGAAATTGAAAGGAAAGATTAAAAAATTAGACTGCCGAAAACTGATAACAAAGTGACTTTTCTGGAAAAGATTATTTCACAGTAGAAATGAAAGAAGTAAGAAATGTTTTACTCTTACAAAACAAAAGGCAGATATGAAAAATTAAATTAGTTATCTTTCGATTTTTATATCCAATAGATGATAATTTAATATCATTAAATCCAAATAATTTAAAAGAAGCAGCTTATAACTTAAATATCCAAATAATAAAAATGCTGGAAAAATTGCATCAGAAACATCTGATTCTAAAAACGCATTACTTCCGGATTCTACAAGTCTAGAGGTTTCAAATATAACTCATGAACACAGCTTTAGTTCAATCATAATGTAATCTGGAACATGCATTAAAAATAGTTAACAATGCAATTTCCTGTTGATAGTGGTGAGGAAAATTCGACATAAAAATTAAAAGCATTAGGAGTGTTATGTAAGACCATCACTTGGTTAGAAAATCTTTGAAATGGCTATTCTCTCATTAGAACATGAATGAAGGAATCAAGTCAATTTTGGAAATAAAAACCATTACTGATGATTTTGCTTCGTTAAATGAAAAAAATTAAATTATGAAAAAAGTGTGAAAAGTTGCAATACTCTTTACTTTAATTACATTACTACTCATACAATTTGAATGTTATTTTCTGTTAACCAAAAAGCTATAGTTTTACCTTTTTCAATTTAAAATTAGCATTATTTTCTTGAGTATATAAAATTACAATTAAGATTATTACTCTTAATGAGCATAAATTTAATCAAATATAGTTAATTTTACTACATATGTAATAGAGGGCATTTATCTTTTTGCGTTAGGTGAAATAATACCTAGGTATGCTCTGTGCTCACAAGACAACTTTCAAAGCGAAATTTCCGGCGTTAACGTAAACTGGCATTGGTGGAAGAGAGCGTCTTTTTCCGTGTTTCCGCTTTTCACGCTAATGTGAATTTAGCCTTATCTGACGGGAAGTTAGCGTTATCTGACGTTTGATGTATAATCAAGCCCCTTTGCAGTAAAACAAAAAAAGTCTGAAAGCCTTCAGATTTTATATTACGCCCAAAGGAGCGGGTTTTTTTTTTTCCTTTACACATACATACACGTTTCGAGAGCATTTGGGCTAATGCCCTTTTGAGGCAAAAATATTTAAAAAATAGCATATCTTTAGAATTTCTGATAGATAGTCTCTTACGCTGGAGACAAAAATATTTTATTTCGTACAGTGTGTTGCGACAGTTCGCTTTGAAATCGTTGAGTTTCTTAATCTAAAATTCCTTAATGTTTAAAAGATATTAAATAGATTAAAAAAAAATTCGAAATTCAAGATTTGGCCTTCCAGGAGCCCATATTCGGGTGGAGGACTACTTTGTTCAAAATTTGATAACTCTAGGTACCTTTGTTTTTTCACAGTGGGAGAAACATGCATACATTCACGCAGATTCTTCATTATTTAACCTCAAAGCGCTTTTTTGGCTCACACATTCCTTTACTAAAACCTGTTTGTTTCTATTTCCTTTTACACTTTTGCCGGATATTTTCCGAACATCCTGCATATTAAAGTGTAAAACCCTAAAACTTCAGATTTTATGTTACGTCCAAAGAGGTGCTTTTTTAACATTTTGTGTGTTACCTTTATTTATCACATATCACGTTCTTAAACCACATAATTCAGTTCAACAGCAATATCGCAAAATAATTTTTAAATAAGCATATCTTTATAATTTCCTATACACAGTCTCACGCGCTGGAGATAATTTTTTTACAGTGTTGCCACTGCTCGCTTTGAAATCGTAATTTTAATCAAAAGTTGAGTTTTTAATCAAAAGTTCGTTGAAATGTTACAAAATATGAAATCGATAATAAAACAAATTCGAAATTCAAGATTCGGGCTTCCAGGTGCCCATATTCAAATGGAGGAGTACGTTATTCAGAATTTGAGTACTCTAGGTATCATTGTTTTTTCACAGTGGAAGAAACGTGCACACATTCATGCAGATTCTTCATCATTTAATTTCGTTAAATATAACACAGGGGATAATATTTAGTATCAATAATCTGAAAAGTGATACAGCCGTTTATAGTGATTCGACGCAAATTGCCGTTTCGAGCCCTTAAAAGCCCTTCTGGGCTAATGCAAGGCCAATTAGATATATCTAGTCGGCCTTGGTTGATGCTCTTTTGGGCTAAAATAAAGCTTTATCCCAGGGAGCGGAATAATGGTTTCGCAGAGGATTTGGTAAGGGAAACTACGTTATGCATGCGAAAATACCATGCAAGCAATCTCTTCGCTATCACCCGACTTCGAAGCAAATGAGTCAGATCGAAATTACTTTTTCGTAATAAAAACATCATATTTGAATTTTAATACTCATTTAGCTAGATAACCGAGCCAATTTAACAATAAGCTGTCAAACAGAAAATAACATATCTTTAAACCCTTTTCGTTATAAATTTCCTCCTTCTCCCTAGCTGCTTTTCATTATATTTAATTTACTTCTATTTGCGTAATAAAATGGCGTATACTTCCTTAGAGGAGGCAAATATTGCCCCCAAGACTGTTTTTCGAGCATACCCGAGGTACCTGTCTCCGACTGTCTTATCTGATCAGTCCTGGTGGGCTTTGGTAACAATTCTATGACGTTAAATGAAACGGATGACAAAATTACAGTTTGAAATACTCTATGGAATGCCCTTGTGATGCGAGTAGTAAGAGTTTTATGTGTTTAGAAATAATTTTAATTACAGAATATTCTTATGAAAAGAGAAAAATAAGGAAAATTACCATAAAGTAAGCATTTTAAAGGATCTTCGACGTAACATATAGTAAATGCTTTAAAAAAAAAAGCCGTAAGATGAAGCATTTGATTGCAATGCACGGTAAAACAGCCAGGGATAAAGAATAGCTTCTCCTTATATTCTTACAGACATGATTATATGTTTCTAACAATATCAGTTTTAAAACTGATATTCTTAAGAGCGATTACACTTCTTTTAAAAAATACCTATAAAGATTGTCGACATGACATAGTGAATGTTTAAAAAAAAATAAAACACCGTAAAGGTGAAGCATTTTGATTTGCAATGAGATACATTCCGATGACCTCATCGATCACGTGACTTATGTATACCTTTTATAAACAAACAATGCAGGTGACCTCAGGGATCACGTGACTTATGTACAGCTAATGCAAACAAGCAAGGTCATTTTTCCTCTTCTTCTCTTGCGGAATGTGTCTCATACACTGTAGAAGGGCTTCTTATATTCTTACATCCAATGATTATAAGTTTCTGACCCTTTTATTTTTGAAAGAGCGATTATACTTTTTTATAAAATACTTGTATGTTTATTTCCAGAACTTATATGAATTTTCAACATTTTAAAAAACACTTATGTCTAATCATGTCAAGCCACCGAAATTGTTTTGACAGAAGAAGACATCTAAATCATGAAAAGTTAAAAAATTGTTTCATTTTCTCGAAGCGGAGTAAATAAAACCCATGAAAGAGAAGTTTTTCGCCGAATCGATAAATTTGTGAAAGAAATATTATGTATTACGGAATATTATAGCATACGGATTATTATTGTGTCCATAGTGTAAATAATTCCCAAAACAGAAGCTATGTCTTCTGCAGACGATGAAGATATGATTTTAAATTTAGATATTTTAGTAGATGTTGAAAAAACGATAAAACCTCCCGCGGATATTGATGATAGTGCAATAAATCCTGAAACATTTGCTAAGAAATGTGTAGTTTCTGCTACAGAAAATGGAGAAAAATATTCCGAGAATAAGTCAATTTCAGTCAAATGCAATGACGTTGAAATGAAATCTCAATTCGATGTTAAATCACCGTCTGAACGGAAAACTCAAAGCACTGTGCCAACAAATGAGACTTTCTCAGAAAAAACAAGCATTTTTGATAATTTTATGCATCCATGTGTGCCAAAAATTAATTGCTCTGAAAAGATTGTAAGTTTTTAATATGTTCAGTTTGTAAAGCTGTCTTGCACCATACGTTTTATTATGTTACATGATTGATAATGTACATGAAAAAACTCAGCATTGTTAATTTGTATTTATGTGTTTTACAGTGTTTTACTTTCATATTTAGTTTTAATACATATGCATTATTAAATTTTATTTAATCTGAACTGTCTTAATATGCAGTAAATATTTGTAGAACCTTTCTTATGAACATCCAAGCAGTATGCAATCGGTTAATATTTGTATATCATTTTGTTTTATATCAATAAATGTATTGATATTTAGCTACACATTAATTATTAATTTTAATTGTACATTAATTATTAATTTTATCTTCATTGTGTTTAAAAAGTACTTCGATAAAAAAAGTTTTCCCGCGCTCTAAGGGATTTTCTCAGTATAAAAGGAAATTAGCCAAAAAACATAAAATTTAGTATATCTAATTACAAATCAAAGTTTTGCTTCAAATTGATAAATATGTTACCGAATTTTATTATTATTAAAATGCTTTTAAAGTAAGGGGTCATTTTAGAAGTAAAGTGAAAATCTTACTGTATTCAAAGTTTAATGCAGAACTAGTCTTTGAGTACGCGATGAAATTCCAGACAGTGGGATGAGGAGCTACTTGTGTTTCTGAATGACAAGTCAGTACGATATTGCAAACTTTGGGTGGTGTTTAAGCTTTTTTAAGAGTATGCAAATATTAATTCAGTTTTTCTTATCAATGCGAGGCATTAAAAAGTTTGAGAAATACCATTAATCTGATTTTCATTGAAACTAAAATATCTAAAACTTCTCAGAATTACCTAAGGAAATTAAAATTTTTGCAGACTAAATATGTTTGAACTAATTTCAACATCATAAAATTATGTAGGCATAAGTTATTAATCTGAAATATTTATGTCTCAGTATCATATCTTGACTTTAAAAAAAATCCTTCTAAATAAAAATTTGATTTTAATCCCTTCCCCCCCCTCCTACTTATTATTTTAAAGTATGAAATTATACTGTCTATTTTAGTAAGCGATATTTGTGTTATTTACTTTTGTCGGTAATTTTTGTGTCATTTACTTTTGTTGTTAAAATAATATACTTTAACAGCAGTCATTTCTTTTTGCTGTTAACGTAATATTGAGTTAAATTTCTGGTTTAAAATGTACTGGTTGACAATAGCCATTTGAAATATTTAAGCCTCTGAGTATTACGAGCTTGGCCCTCAAATTTCAGAATTCCCAAATATTTTGTGAATAAGCAATATTTTCTTCATTATAATTCCAAAATGATTATCTCACTTTGTCCTTTAGCTCCTTTTCTTCGAATATATATATATATATATATATATATATCCTGAGATCAGCTAGATCAAGATTTGGTAGATATTTTCATGTAGTATAACGAATGAGGCCACTCATCCTTCCATATGGAATTTCCTGTGCATAACTCTTGGAGAGTCATAGCTACGGTTTTAAGCACCTAGAGACAGTTGAAGATTTCACACATACTCCTTTTTTGTCAAAATGCAATAGGGAATATCAATTTGGCACCTGTGGATAAATTTCTCTCCTTGCCCCCTCCTGCAGTTATGCAACTGTTTAAAGTATTTGCATTTTATCTATTGGGAACTTAGTCTGGGGCCAAATTGCAATAACTTACCAGTAAATGTTTGTATCTCTGGTTATAGCCATATCCTTAAATATATGCACACTCAGCCTTGATCTATTAGCATATTCTATCAATTGAAGTGTATCACATTTGTTATTTTCTTTACAATTCTCCAAACTTTCAGAAATAATAGATTGTAAGTTAGCAGTTGGTCTCTCTCCCTTCAAGAACTGCAAAATATTGTAAAAGCACTGAGAATGTTTCAATTCCCATACAATGTGGTAGTATTTTTGCAATAACTGTCTCAGCCATTTGTTACATTTCATGCAGAGCTTTTTGTCAAGATTTCAAACTGTACAAGTGACTCAGATGCCCTACAACCTAATTTTTCACCTTGTGACTTCTAGTTTTTACCAAAACATAAATCACCTATGAAAAGGGAGAGATTTCAGATTACCTATAAGAGATTCAGGCCAATATGATAAGACACTTATTTTGCAATTCCAACACAAGACATGCAGCAGTTTCTAATTGGAAACAATGCTGGGAGAAGTCTGAAATTGCAGGATGCTTACTTAAAGTAGTTTTGAAGCTACACACAATTTTTTTAATCTCAAATTTTTTCGTCAAGGAATACAGATTTTTTTTAAACTGTTATTTTAATTTTGTACATTATGTTGTGTGATCATTTTAGGGCAAATCTTATGCATGAATGCTATAGTTTTAATGCAATTATATTATTCTAAAATGTGAAATTAATTCTAATGAAATGTATGAAGCAGTTTTCTTTAAAATTTTATTTTACTAAATACTAGTTATTTTAAGATACAAAACCTAATAATCAAAATATTAATATAACTTCATCTACCATACAATGGGTATATCTACAGTATAATTGATAAACACTGAAGTTTTTAAAACTTAACTGCAAATTAAAAATTATGAACATATGTGTTATATTTTAGATTTTCTGTTTGGATATGTCCTCAGAAATGGAACAGATACCTTTTAGACTAGGTGACGGGTAAGGATTTTTCTCATATGTATTGTAAAGAACTCTTATGTCATAAGAAATGTATAATATTTTACTGAAAAAGTAAACTAATATATTGTTGTTTCATAGGCAATATGAATAATTTTTTTGAGGAATGTTGTAGGATTAAGTAATCATAAATCAGTATCATTAAGTATTGCTCTAATAACTTATGTAATAAAGATTTTGTTCCTATTGTATAAATAAAACTTAGAAAACTTTTTGTTAAGTATTTTTTCCCCCGGATCTTTTACCATCTATAACATTCAACTGCTTTATTACAAACTAAAAATTAACTCAAGCTGTGGAAGAAGGTAATTGAGAAAATTCTAGTTGCATGAGACTTTAGAGTTTCCATAACTGATCCTTCAATTAAGAGATAGTAGTAATTGCTTTGGAAAAAGGAATATACCTGATTAAAAAAAAAAGTAACTACCTAGGTTTTTACTTCTTCACTTTTAAATGTATTTTAAACTGAATTCTTTAAATCTTATTTTGAAATATCTCTGTTATTCTTTAACATGAGCATCAGTAATTGTTTAACATTAGAATAAATTGAAATGTGAGGGAAAATATCATTAACTTTGCTGATAAAAATTAGATAAATTTCTTAGAATGTAATATTGTTGATTAGTAATTATATATTGTAAAAAGAGTCGTTTAAGTTATGAAAATATTATGAACTCAACTCTGAAATGTGAATAAAGATTAAAGTATTTTATATTGGATTGCATAAACTGGCTGTATAAGAAACAAATTATTCAAAGATTTTTTTTTAAATTATTTATATTTTTTTCCACCTGTCCTCTCATTTATTATACATTACGAAGCTTTATGGCAAAAGTTTCAGACTACAGTTTTCCTTTAGCCTTTGGCATATCTTAAAAAGGAGTAAGATAATGTGAGCCAAGGAATGGGGAAACCTAAGCCCGTGAGTACAGAGTCAGCTTTTCAGGGGCTAAAATTAAGTATACTTCTGTTTTCTGTTTTGGTTTTGAAGTGAAGCTATCATCTGATCTAATACTTTTAATGATGCTTTTGCATTATCTGCCCAGCTGTCCTGCAAAGTCGCCAGTCATTGGGGACTAATTTTTTGCCAATCTAGCACATGAAAAATGGTAGTCAAAAAATGGCAGCATGCTGAAAATTACATTAAACATGCATAATAAACATTTAACCTTCCGTTTTCTTGGACTTCTATCTATGTGCATAGAGATCTGTTTTAATTTTAAAAACAATCAGAGAACTGCCTTATTCTTGATGTTACAGTGCAAACTGGCACTGCTCTACATTAACCTGTTTTAACTTTAAAAAAAAAAAAAAAAAAATCAGAGAATTGCACTTATTCAGAGAAAACTATTTTCAAAATCACCTAAAAATAGTCTATAAAGTACTTTCAAGCTGCAAGATTTCTGTAATAATGCAACATCGGAGGTACAATAAAGCATAATTCAGTAGCATTTTATTAATTGAATAACAATAACGAAAATCAGTGCTTAGAGTAATTAAACTTTTGCAGACATTGGGTACTGTTCATCTATCTGCTCTAAAATTTCTTTAGAACAGTCTTTTTGCCTTTCTTCCAGATATTTTCTCCAAATGAATTTCCTGAGATAATCAAGACAGTTCGGTCATTTGTAAAATGTAGTTTCAGTGTGATGCGCATTTCTGCACTGTACTACTACTACTAGGCGAAACGTCATATTTCTGAAAAATTGCAACACATTCTTTTTTCTTATGCAACTCTACAGTTGCATTATGATTCATTAAAAAAAAAGTACTACGCTTATATTACACCCTCAGGTGTATGCCGTCGCCAAATGGGGCGATATGTGTTCTGCACTGGTGTTTGTCACAGTTGTATGTTCTATGATGGTTTTTGCTGTGATACTGTTTGTATGACAACCCTTTTAATGCTGAACTTGATTTTACTGGACTGGTTTTATTTGCTGGTTGTTTGGTTTGGTGGGTGTTTTGAAATGGCTTATGTTGCAATGGAAAGACGTGGTGGCAAAATTTCTGTCGCGTATTTTGGATTGTGTGCTAGGTAACTTTAGTATTAAAAGGTACGGGTGAAATTTTATTTACGAATGTATGCTGGACTTTGTATGCTCTGTGTCTCAAAAAATAGGGGGTAAAGGATAAAGTAGTGTAAATTTATGAGTTTTGCTGATGTTTAAAGTTAATATTTCTGCTGTTTAAAGAAGCATTCACAATTATAAGTGGATTTTATTTATTGTTGTTCTTATTTTGTAGAATGTTATACAGTCAAAAGTCATTAATCTGGACTCGTCGGGACTTCGGCGATTCTGGATTATGGATCATCAGTTTAAATCTGGTAAGATGGCACGCAGAAATTATAAAATTGAAAATATGAAACCGTAATTTATGAAATAAAGAACAATTATGATCTAAAGGGTATCAAAATTTACAAAAAAAAAAAGCTTAATATTTATTTGTTTACTTTATTAAACATTTCTCTCAATGTAAGTTGTTTAAATTGCTTCGTTTTTTATGTGATAATACATTCTCTTTAATTCTATAAACAGACATAATTTCTTGTTCAGTTACAAAGTTCCGCTGTTCAAGTCCTATAATTGCTGTGTCGAGAATACCAACTAATTTGTCAATCAAAATTTTTTCATTTTCAATAACCTCTGTCACTTTTTTCGCTATCGGAAGCGAATTATAATGAGGAGGACTTTGATTTAAATCATATCAAAGACGGAGTACATCGAGATCAAATACTACATTTAATAAGGAATTATAAGCCAAATAAAATAAAAACATCTGCCCTGAAGATAAGGATAGTGCTGACAGATCAACTTCCAATTAATTGCGCAGCGTTAAAGATAAACAAAGTTTAGATAAACAAAAATTAAAGTTTAGATAAACGAAGGATATGCCTTTATCCATTTTTTGCAGCAATTCCACTTTTTGTTTAATGAACCTCGAAATATACTTTCGCTTTGTAGATCCTTTACATATTAATAAATATATATCAGAAATTCTATTTGACATAATCGAAAGTTCAAGCTTACTCTTATAAAATTGCTCTAACAGTCTGCAAAAAATAATAAGCCAGATCCAATTCGAAGATTAAGGAACAATGCAATCTGCAACATTAACTGAAATAGATAATTAGATAATTTTAGCTTAGCTTATGCCATCAGTTATACATTAAACGTGCACTCGTAAACATATTTTGCGCACGCGCACAAGCACATTCGCAGCCGTAAAGGTCTTACGCGCATGCACAGAAAGTTTGTAGCTTTGAGGTCCGGATTATGGGTGTCTGAATTAACGACTTTTGACTGTATTCATTGTTTTCTTGTTATGAATTTCGGTACTTACGTATTATCGCAACCAGGTTGGCGCGATTTGTAAGTTTGAGTAAAAAAGTATGAATAGAAAGAAAATGTACATTTGTTAATTACAGATAATTTTTAATACATTTTTTATATTATTTTGTTTTAAAATAAACTTTTTACAAATAAACTTTCGTCTATTTCCACAATAAGTCCTTCGCCGCCTATTTGCTTTCTTTCTTTTTCATCCATTTCAAGGGCACATATCTCCTGCATGTAATTATTCCAATCTGTAACAGTTTTGTCAGCAATTTCCATCTCTTCTGCACAAAATTTAATTGAGGTTAATTCTTTACATCAACAATAAATGAAGCGCACCGCTGTCACAAATGAAATTCGGCTACCTTCAAACCAATTTCCGGTTCTCACACCCAAATGTTGATTGCACTCTTCGACATTACATTTCCAGAAGATTTGCTGTCCAAAATACAGTTTCATTTTATGGGAATTTTTACAAGTACGTTCGTTCGGTATAATTCCATATCCCTGCAACAATTCAACAGCATCTTTTTCACTCGCAGGCAGATCCCAAATACCCATAGTTAAAGTATTTCAGGGCATTCAATCTAACCAGTAAGAAAAATAATTTCTTTACGAAAAACTATGTATAACACGTAGGGTTGTCATAAGTAGGGTCGCCAAATTTGGCGATTTATGCGAATTTGGGACTGGTTGCATTAATACGTAAGTACCTGAATTTCAGTCATTATTGTTGTGTTTTGAATTGTTTATAATGTATTTTAGTTATTTTAGTTGATTTGTGCATGGTTCCTAGATTGTGCAATTAGCTGATGTTTCTTTAAGCTAAAACAGAATGCTGTGTACATGGTATTGTTTGAAATTTATTGTTGTCATGTTAGTTTATTTTAGCATGTGTGCGGAATTCGTAGATTCCTACACTACATAGATCGTGCAATTCTCTGATTTTCTTTATTTTTTCTTTAAGTTAAACCAGATTGCTGTGTACATGGATTATTGTCAAATATATTTGGTTAGAAACTTTACGTTTTTGCTATCTAAATTTTTTGTTTTTGTTTTGGATTTTTGGCATAAATTGTATGTTAAAAACGTGGTTTTTGCACGTGCGAAAATCGCACTTTTGCTGACATTCTAGGCTTAAAGTTTGAAATTTAAACAAAAAATTCAGATAGTAATATGGCACCATAAAAAAGTTTGGCAAGAAATTTGTTGCCAACCGAGGGCATGTATAAGAGTAATTCAAAGAAAAAGAAACATACTAATCACAAGCTGAGACTACAAACATAACAGCACAGAGTTCCAGAATTGTGCATTTAGTGCATTATTAGATAAAATATATTTCTGTAAAATTGGGGGGGTGCTTGCTTTGGCTTACGTAATGCTTTGCCTGTTGATTCTTATCATGGTTGGGTGGATAATACAATAGTACCTGTTTAATCTATAATATGATGTATCATTTGATAACTTTTGCAATTATTTTCTCTTGTGATTTTAGATCTCAATATTCACCTTTAAGTATGGTTAAACGGACAATTGAATTATTTGTTGAAAATAAGCATTTTATTCATAGAAAGCATGAATATGCCTTGATGGTTTTATACGAAAGTGCTACATGGGTGAGTGATAATATATGCTAAATGTATTCTTTAAATATAATAAATTAAATTCTGCTGCTTAGAAAAATATCTTATCATTTAGTGTACTTCTTTTGTCTAGATATGAATGGAATAACAATTGGTGCTGAAAAATTATTTTGTAATAAATAATTATATATTTTCTACAAAATGTAATTATAATACAGTGTAACAAGTGATTATAAGGCCACATGCCTGGTAATGAACTTTAAAGATTCTCTTACGAAAAATCAAATATTTATATTGATTTCAAAAAGTAAAATATTTAGTATGTATCTAATGTTAAATTTCAAAATCTGTTCATTATGCATGTAAATCAGCAAATTTTATAAGAAGCAAAAAAACAAAATGGGAAACGTGCAAAGTACAGCATACACCATGTCCACAAATTCCCAAAAAGTAAAGGCTGGATAGCCTTCATTTTTTATTCATATACTCTCATGTCCATAAATTAAGGATAATGCAAAATCAGGCAAAGGAAGAGTTAGAAGCAAAACAAATTTGATTTATTTGTAAAGCTTATTTATTAAACAAAAGGTAAAGAGCAAAAAAGGATGCTATACACTGAAGTGACAAAAGTCATGGGATACCTCCTAATATTTTGTCGGTCCTACTTTTGCCCGGCGAAGTGCAGCAACTCGATGTGGCATGAACTCAACAAGTCGTTGGAAGTCCCCTGCAGGAATATTGAGCCATGCTGCCTCTATAGACGTCCATAATTGTGAAAGTGTTGACGGTGCAGGGTTTTGGGCATGAACTGACCTCTCGATGATGTCCCATAAATGTTCGATGGGATTCAAGTCGGGCGATCTAGGTGGACAGATCATTCGCTGGAATTGTCCAGAATGTTCTTCTAACCAATCGCGAACAATTGTGGCCCGGTGACATGGCGCATTGTCATCCATAAAAATCCCATCGTTGTTTGAGTACTTGAAGTCCATGAATGGCTGTAAGTGATCTCCAAGTAGCTGAAGGTATCCATTTCCAGTCAATAATCGGTTCAGTTGCACCAGAGGACCGAGTCCATGCCATGTAAAAACAGCCGAGACCATTATGGAACCACCACCAGCTTGAACAGTGCCTTGTTGACAATTTGGGTCCATGGCTTCGTGGGGTCTGCACCACACTCGAACCCTACCATCGGCTCTTACCAACTGAAATCGTGACTCATCTGACCAAGGCCATGGTTTTCCATTCGTTTAGGGACCAACCGATATGCTCACGAGCGTTGCTGCAGGCGATGTCGTGCTGTCAGTAAAGGCACTCGAGTCGATCTTTTGCTGGCATAGCCCAAGGAAGACAAATTTCGCCGCACTGTCCTATCGGACACGTCCCTCATACGTCCCACATTGATTTCTGCGGTTATTTGACGCAGTGTTGCTTGTCTGTGAACATTGACAACTCTATGCAGACATTGCTGGTTTCGGTAAGTGCTGGTGGTCTGCCACTGTGCTGTCCATGGTGGGATGTTATGCCTGAAATTAGGTACTCTCGGCACACTCTTGACACTGTGGATCTCGGAATGTTGAATTCCCTAACGATATCCGAAATGGAATGAAACATGCGTCTAGCTCCAACTACCATTCCGCATTCAAAGTCTGTTAATTCTCGTCGTGCGGCCATAATCACGTCAAAGCCTGTTCACATGAATAACTTGAACACAAATGAAAGCCCTGCCAAAGCACTTCGCATTTATACATTTTCTACGCAATACTACGGCCATCTGTATATTTGCATATTGCTATCCCATGACTTTTGTCACATCAGTGTATGTTTGAAATTATTAAAAAAATTTGTGATTTTTTCCTCCCTGGAGCAAATTACAAAAAAAAACCTATTTACAAAAAACCAATATTACATAGTTGGTATGATTGTTAATACATTGTATGTCTCCCAGACAATGCAATACAGTCCGTACGACGCAAAGGCATGCTGAGTATCAAATTATCGAGCTTATCTTGGGGGATATTACACCACTCAGAAAGCAATGCTCTCCGAAGTTCCGGTAGACATATAGGAGGAGGTTGACGGGCTGCAACTCGTCGGCCAAGCATGTCCCACACGTGCTCTACTGGTTTCAAGTCCAGTAAGAATGCTGGCCAGTCCATACAGGTGATATCCTCCGATTGAAGGCATTCCCTTACGATGTTTCCACGGTGAGGAAGGGTGTTGTCATCCATAAACACAAATTGTGTGCCCATGGCGCCCCGAAACTAACTTACATGTTGTTCCAGAATGACGTCCCGATAGATTTGGCTTGTCATGGTTCCAATTTGAACATGCAGGTCAGTTCTGGAACCCAGAATAATTCCACCCAAACGAACACTCCTGCACCACCGTAACGGTGTCATTCAATGATGTTTTCTTGGTGGTAACAGGTACCTGGATATGATCTCCATATGAAAGTCTGCCGAGAATCTGACTGCAAGCTAAACCTGGACTCGTCGAAAAACATCACATAAGCCCACTGTTGCGGTGTCCACAATGCATGCTCTCTACTCCAGGCTAACCGCAGGCGACAGTGAGTTGCAGTAAGTGGAACGAATGACAGGTCTACGAGCATATAGACCAATCTGCCCTAAGCGTCTGTACATGGTCTGCCTTGAAATTGTCGTACCAGTGGCTGAAGAGAGCTGACGAGACAGGTCTGAGGATGTGCTCTGAATGTTTCTTTTGGCAGTAACTGCCAAATACCGGTCCTCATTCGGCATTGTAACTCTGGGGCGACCTGTGCTGTAACGTCTACTCACATTACCATCATCTTAGAATCGTTGCCAAAGCCTGGAGATGACACTCTGGACAATTCCATGTTCATCTGATACTTCCAGTTGGGTATGCCCACATTCCAGATGGCCGCTAATTCTACCACGTAAAAAATCCTCCAAATGCATCCTTTGTGTCATAACTATTCGGTTATTGCACTGAAATGCTTATAAAGCGCCTGCGAAGAATTTTACTTCTTTGCCTGTATTCCTTATATATCACTCTCTGACACTCTCGTCATTGTGACATACCATCGGTGTCATCTGGTTACTTCCTGAAATTTGCATATGATTCTTGAAGATGTGTGTAGTGATTTTACAGGTGATATATTTATTTTAGAGCTTGATTTCCATGTGACTCCGAATTATCCTTAATTTATGGACATGAGTGTATGTATATATATATACTTTCAATTACAGAACTATTTCAAATGATGCAAGTGTTCATATTCCAGCATTTTGAAATTAAAAAAATAGTTTTGTTTAAAGTTTCTAAATCTAACTTTTATACCTTTCTCTTGTCCCTATACTCTTATTTAGCAAAATGTTATACTTAGTGTGAAAAGTACAATATAAAAAGTGTGATTCTTAGACAACAAAAATTGACTGAAATATTTAACGTTGGACATCATATTTAGGGGCTGTACACAAATTGAAGAACAATGTTTTTGCATTTGTATTAAAAAATAAAATGTCAGTTTAAGGGAAAAGTTTCTGGTGATAATGTGATTAAATGGTGAATGTTTTTGTGTGTGTTATCATGCAAAGTGTTGATCTATTTAATTTTATTAAAAAACTAGACCTAATTCACAGAATCTTACAGAACGGCTGAAATGCTGGCGGCCTTCAGTATTTTCATATTGCCATCTTGTAACCCTATATAGATATTATATAATGTATTTCTAACATTTCAAAATTTGTAAATTAGTCATGTGAAAATTTTTTAGCATACCAATTGTAAAAAAAATTGCAAATTAAAGAGCAAGAATATCACTGAGTAGAGTTTAAGAGAGACAAAAATCTATCTTGAATTTTTCTAATTTTCAAAAATTGCTCAGATTTTTCAACTGCGTATCAGATATAAAGTTTTCAAATTTTAACAGATTTTAAAATAAACACTTTGCTTCTTTTAAAATGTAAATTATTAAAAAAAAGTATTTATTGGTCAATTTTCTCCATGTATGTTACAGTCTGAAACAGAAGAGCAGGAAATCGGTTCTCTTAACAGATTTTAAAATAAACACTTTGCTTCTTTTAAAATGTAAATTATTAAAAAAAATATTTATTGGTCAATTTTCTCCATGTATGTTACAGTCTGAAACAGAAGAGCAGGAAATCTGTTCTCTTAACAGATTTTAAAATAAACACTTTGCTTCTTTTAAAATGTAAATTATTAAAAAAAATATTTATTGGTCAATTTTCTCCATGTATGTTACAGTCTGAAACAGAAGAGGAGGAAATCGGTTCTTTCGGCTATCCCCTCGCTTGCGGATGTATCACTTTCAGGATTATGAAGTCACATGATTGTTATCACTTTGCATTTACTATCCCATATTACTCTATCTGAATAATTTAATTTACAAACAATTCATTAAGACAAAAAAGATGAAAATAAAATATGGTAAAAAAAATATTTTTATGAAATAAGTTTTTATTTAAAACTCTTAAAATAATTAATGAGCTAGTGGAAGAAAAATTATTTATCATTTTTCCATGGGAACAAGAGATTAAATAATTCTCTTTACAAAATTCATCTACAGTTTTATATCATGAATAATAAAAGCATCAGCAGCCAAGTAACAAAATTTATTATTCACATTGCATTGTCAAAAGTATAAGCCATTATCTATTCAGTGAGAGACTTTATTTTTAAAATTCTGGAATTTTATTGAAAAATTCATTCATAAAGCTAAAAGTCTTATAAGTTTTGTCAAGAAAAGGAAGAATTTGTCATCATAATTCTTGCAAGAATTCATATGTATTGTTTTTATAGTATGTAAGAAATTTATCAAAATAATTTGAATTACTAATGAGAAACGTTTTTTGGTGTTAATGAAGTGTTTTCCATTAATATTTAATGAAATGATTGCATAATTTACCTGCTTGAGGACTTTGAATATCATATCATCTTGATTTTGTACATTCATTATTTTAAATGTGAAATTTTCCTTGATAATATTTCCTGTTCATTAATGTAAAATGTTTTAAAACTGTAAATACCCCCCCCTTTTTTTTGGCTACCTAGAATGTATTATGCTATTTATCAGTATAACATTTCTTTACTTTTAGGTTCGAGAATTTACTAATGATCCAAAAGAATTAATAGATTCTTTAGAAGATTTAAATGAAACACAAGATTGTGTTAGTTGTGGTATCCTTTCATGTTTTACTCTAAAATGCATTATTTTTTATTATATTATTTTGATTATATAACAGCTAGCAATTGCTTATATGTCATGCAATGACATTTTTGTGTGATTTATGTAATTGGATGCAAAATCTTATTTCAGTTAGAATAATCAATTCTGTTAAAGGCACTAGTAAGGCCGCTAGTCTTAATTGTGCACCAGAGCACTAGATGTTATAGCCTATTTATATTAGATCATGTTAAAAATACAATGTTGGTCATATTCTTCCATTGCAATGGATATTTGATTGGATCTGCCATGAATCAAAGGAAGGTTTCCTATACTTGAACAAATAACTTCTAAAGAGTTTGTGGCCTGATTATTCAGTAAAAGCTTCGATTGTGGTTATGCAGGAAAGCATGGCAGAAGGGAATACAATTTCCTGTGATTGCTAAAAAAAGTTTAATATGAAGGAATTGGCAATTGCTGGATATGAACAATACCCACAAGTGAAGCAACAAATTTGTTTTTAATTGATACTGACACGAGATGCAATATGCAAATTGTTGAAGGCTGTGGGGCAATGCAAAATTCAACATTAGCATGGCACTGCCTGCTATCATCTAGATTTCTACTTAATTGAATTATTATGGTGTTGATTGTATCAGAAGATGCAGTGTTTAATGAAATACATGGATTTAGCTATCCTGTGTAATCTGAAATTAATTAATTAAAACTTATTTTTAGCTTTCTTTTTTGTTACTTATTTTGGATTTAATACAATAGTCATTCTTTTCGTGAAGCTGTGTGTAAAACTGAGATTGCCATCTACTTAGGTTTCATCACAACATTTATATTTGGTGCTAAGTAGTGTACCCCAAAACTAAAAAACATACTTAAAGCAAAAGATAAGGATTTAATATTTAAAAATTCTTATCTGATGTTATGCTACTTTTATATGCATATTCCCACTCTTTCTTCTTTTTTAAAGTATTTTTTGGTATTAGTATACCAGAAACAGATTAGTATCAGATATATAATATTGCAAATTTTTTTATGAATTAACTTATTGTGTTTATATTTTGCATTAATTAAATGAAAAATGAATTTTAATAATATGTAATTTAGTACATAATTCATTCAAACTGAGGTTAAAAAATTTATTTTTGCAGTATAAAAAGAAAGATTTAGCCAGATTTTTTTCACAGAAGCATTTACAATCATGCTGTATTATTTCTGTATGCCATTTATTTACACATTTCAAACTGAAATAAGACATGGGCATTGGCACTAAAATCTAACAATATTTTAATTGAGTTTATATTGAATTTATGTTGAATCTTGTTACCACTGCCTAGCAGTACAAACTTTTTTCCTTATACAAAAGCCATTTAAATATATTTTTTTTTTACTTGTTATCGAGTTGTAGTGTGTTTTGTTTAACCACAATATGTATGTAGGAAAATGTAGTGGAATAATAACATGAATTGGTTAAGATAGTAGTAAATATTTGTATATATACAGAAAGAAATTTAGAACCGATTTTTCACAAAGATCAAAAATTGAAATTCAAATTAACTTCAAAAAATCCATAAATGTAGAATAAAAATTATTTAATATATAAAAATTAAAATAAACTATCACAAGAAAAAAACAGAAAAGAATATAATAGAGAAAAAAAAAAAAAAAAGAATCCAATCAAGTTTGACATAACGTTGGCAGGAGGATATATGTTGAATTCAATTACATATTGAATTATTATAAAATATATATTGAAATAGTTCATCAGCTAATTCTGGATATAGAAAAGAAAGGATTTTGTTTTGGAAGGAGAATTGTAATTGAATTCAACATATATCTTCCTGATGATGTTATGTCGAAGTTAATTGGATTCCTCTTCTTTTTTGTTCTTTTCTTGGGATAGTATATTTCAATTTTTAAATAATTCTTATTCTATATTTATAGGATTTTTTTAAGTTCATTTGAATTTCAATTTTTGGCTTTTGTGAAAAATTGGTTCTAATTTTCTTTCTTTATGTAGTATTTACTGATCAGTTTTCAGCGGCATAATGTGCAATGCAAAAATTATTGGAAGGATTATAAATTTTCCTACTAAAAATTATTTGTTTTTATGTAATATATATACATAAGGAAGGTTAAAAAATGTAATTTAAATTAGCAGCAGCCTCTTAATCTTAATTTGGGTATTTTTCCTCTTTATTCTAAAAATCATTACCTTTTTCTGCATTGCATCATTTCAGCACTCATCCATGTCGTGTGACTTTTAGATAATATTGGTGACTTAAATGGAACTACAACAGCCAATAATAATTTTATAGCGTTATTAATTATCCAATCAAATGTGTTGAAAACCAGAACTAACTCATTCTGTATGAAGTTTTCATCCTGAATGCTTGCTTCCTGCATTTTGGCCTAGCTGAAGTGCTGCTTTCCATTTTAGCACAAAGCTATCCAGAATGTAAACATCTGAAATAGGCATCAATTAAAATGTCAAATTGTTTGTGGCTGCAAAAGTAAAGTTTAAGTTAAGATGAATTTAAGTAAATTTAAGTAAAGATGAATATTTAATCTGCCAAGTTGCTGTTCATTGCAGATCAACATCTACAAAATACAGTATTTCTACATCTATGCTGTCTTTGTTTCTACAACATCATTATATCTTCATTACATATATATTTAAATATTTTTAAAGAGTATTTGAGGTATAACTACACTGAGATATAATTATTAGTCTAGTGATTAAGTTGACATGCACAAAAAATTCAAAGCACCATGTGTAGCATACATTTGATCATATAATATTTATCCTTAGATTTCAAGGGCATGTGATGTTTTTCAAATTAATAAGCACAATTTGGGTGTACTTGTGGAATAGCAAGTTTACCTTTGTTTTGAAATAATACTATTACAAATCTGAATATGCACTATATATCAGCAGAAAAGATGAAAATGTACACAAATCAGAAAGTCTGTGGTCAGTGATAAAAATAATAGTAATTGATTTTGTTAACTTCAGCATAGGCTGAAGAAAAGAAGCTCTTCTGTCTAGTGTGGCCTTCAGGCCAATTCTTGGCAATGTATTCCGTAACTGATAATGATGGGGGACAAGTATTATGTATGAAGTAATATGATTATATTGTATATGATCTTTTAGTAGAGCATCTAAGATATATTAAATAGTTTTGTGCTAGTTTTTGCTTTAACAGAAAATAAAAAGATTTGTCTTCCATCATCACACTTTTGTAAGTAAATTTTTTATTTATGATTTTATGATGATTTATGATTTTAGATATTTTATGTTGTCTTTTTACTCAACAGCATTTAAAGCATTATATGTACTGTTGCATGTTTCTAAAAAAGAGCTGTGATCAAGGTTCCAAGATTAAAAGAGCTATATTGTAATACTATTTAATATTTAATTGTCATGAAAAATTATTTAATATTAAGTGCATGAATTAATGCATTAGTATGTTGTCAATGCATTCAGTATTACCCTTTTGAAAGCTCTCCTTACAAAAGACACTGTTTAATGTTATAGTGGTTAATGATAACATTCAGATGTTGTTATCAATTTGCCAAAGTGTCACCTGTTTGTATACATAATTTTTTTTTTTTTTTTTTTTTTTTGAATAGCGAACACTTTGTCTTTTTTCGACATTGGCCACTCCTAAGGCCAGAAGTGGTGGCCATTTTATTATGGGGATACCTAATAGGCAGCCACCATTACCTCCTATAAAAGGACAGACAGCTACAACCATAAGTTTTCCGATATTTGAATCTGGGCCCTTCAATAGTATACAAAAACATGGAAAATACATCACTTAGAGTGATCAACAATTTTGTTAATATGATCAAAATTTTATAGTATAACTTTTAATTTTATAGTAAAACTTTTTAAACTGAAATAAAGGTCATCAAATAAAAAGCAAAATCACCAGATAATATTAAAATAGATTATAAAAACTGATAAGTGTCAGAGATTAATATCTTGGTTTTGATTTTAGTTAATGATTTAGTTAATGAATTTTGCAAAATAGCAAACTTATTTTTTCATCACTATTGAATAACACTATTGATTTTCAGGGGATTGGATGCTGATCTTTCTTCAGGAGGAAAAATGAAAAATTCTGCAAAATTTTTTTGTTTCCCTTATTGGGGGCAGAAATCATTAAAACACCCATGCCAAACTAAGCTTTCTTTTCTGTCTAGATTTAAATTTTACATTAGCATGTTCTCTTCCAGTGAGGGATGCCCTCCAAATGTTAAGATCAGTGGTGCAGCTCAGTCAAATAATTTCCAGAAACATTGTGAACTGTTCATAAAGCCACTTCTGCATCTTCCTAATTAAAATGTTCTGAAATTGCCTGTTGATGTGCTTCTAGTTATACTTATATATAATTACTTACGTTCCATTGCTATTTTGAAGGATATTTTTTTGCATATGTTACTAAAACAACAGAGGACAAATGTGATCACATTAAACGGTGCGTACTGCATATCAGAATACATCATTATTTGATGATAAAGAAGGGGCTATTTTTGCAGAACAGTTTTTTCAAAGAATTAAATTCTAAATGAATTATCTTAACAAGACTCTCCTTAGGCAAATTCATGAATTCATTATCATAGCAAAATATTAAAACTCTGTTTTAAAAGAAATATAAATGATCTAAAAATTTTGATGATGTAGTATTTCAAAATACAATATACAAAGAAAAAAAGTTCTAAGAATGTGGGCAAATAAAACTTATATTTATTTCCCTACTGCAAATTTTTGCTGTTGGGGATACTACGAAAAGCAAGTAATGAGTATTTAGCACAGAGTAATTCAGTCAGTTCACTTGCATTACAGTCTGAGAGCATATTTTGCACAGCTTTTAGTTTCTCCATCTGGTTTAAAGTTGTATCCATGGCAGAGATGGTGGTTAAGAGAGATGGGCTTGTGCACATACTGAGCTGGTATTGTTATTCTTTCCTCGCCTTCAAGCCTAGTTTATTCTTTATTTATAAAACTAGAATGAGGTAGAAAAAAATAGAGCAGTATTAATTTTTCTACCGGCAGAAAAGTATTATGCAGACTTATTTTTTGTAACACAATGCATAGTTTGATTATTTGGAGTAAGTTATTGACAAAGTAAAATGGTTTTCTAAAATGTTCTCTTATACCTGACAAAATTTCTCAAAATTTTGAAATAAGCTTTCTTAAAATATTTTAAATAATTTTACTTCTTTGAAAAGCTTCTATTTTTTTTTTTTTTTTTTTTTTTTTTTTTTTTTTTTTTTCTTCAGTAGTTAAAATCTCTTTAAAAGTATTATTTAGTTTTAAAAGTGATAATCGTAATCTTTGTTTTTAACACATTTTGCATCTTTTAAGAGATGGAAGACTATCCACTTAAAATCTTGATTTAAACCATTGCTTATTAATCTCATGATTAAAATATTGGCACCCTGATAGATATAAGGTAAAATTTGACTGGGTGAATTATTCTTTAGTTTTTTATATACGATAACAATAGTTCTAGAGTAGAATAGTATTTTTTCATTAATTTTAAATAACTAATTTTTAGCAATCTTAAACTAAGTAACAACATAATTTATGTTGTTGTGATATGGTTACAAGGTATCTTGAAAGTTATTAGTTTAAAATACAGGCTTACATTTTGTATTTTCTTAATACAGTGTTATTTCAACTAGCTGTTTATTGCTATTTTGTATGCTAATACATTATTTTCACTTATTAAAAGCTTTTGAACTGTATGTTATTTTTATATCTTTATTTAGAACAGAAAAATATGAAATGGGACTTCCAAACAACTTACCTTTTGTGTCGCATATATTCAGAGTGATTTTAATTTATGGACGTTCTAATTGTATGATACATTTTTCTGATGAAGAGGTAAGAAAATAATTTTTGTATTTCTGAAGGATAAGAACATGTAGATTTAGTACATACAGGCTCAAAAATCCTTTCACTCGTGTACTCTCTCTCTCTCTGTACATTTTCCTCTACATGGTCAGTTACAGCTAACCACACCTTAGAAAAATTTACTACAATTACCTTAGGAAAATTTGCTACAATTAATATTTCTGTTCCTTTCCTGTTAAGTGTTGTTATATTTTTTATATTTTTCAGTCTTTTCTCATTTCATCATATCAATATTCATTTTTGTAGTAACATGGCTGACAAAAATTTTTTTTTGTCTTTTTATTATTCATTTTTATGCAGTAACTTTATTTGTTAAATATGTTCTTTGCACTTATGCTGCATAAAATTCAATTCAACAGCAAAATCACAAAGTACTTAAAAAACAGCGTATCGGGATAGAGTATTAGATGTTGCAATACGTATTTTTATATTCACTGTAATATTCCTTTAAAAACTAGCTGCTCATATGGCCAATTAACCACTTGTGCTAAAAAGACATGCCACACACGTTGAAATGCTTTTGTCTCAAACCTCGTGCAATAATGATAATGCCAGCAACGAACACACTCACTTCCCGGCCGACACGCAGGCGTGCCAGAGCATTTTTCCTTTCAGCCCCGACTGTCACGTATTTGTGCCAGTGTTCTGGAACGTTTTAAAAACTATAATTTCTGCCACAAGATGTCACTGTATGTCCATATGGTTTCAGATACACGTACATTAGACCTTCTACTCGAAATCAGAGAAGCATGACTCACATACACGTGTTTTTGATTATATAAACAAAAGGGGAAATAAATGTTTCCGAATGGCGTGCTTTATGATGTCTCTTTAAATTCGCATGTGATAGTTGTTTATTGTAAGTAGAGAAGTTTTATTTTTGCTAAAGCGTTGGGTATTTCGGTTTGCAGTTCAGTATTTAGAAAATAATTAGATCTTGTTAGATGTGAATTCTTTCTGTTTTTACCGTTGCATGTCGAAGCGTCGAAAATGTTTAACAGAGCATGAAATAGCAGAAATGATGCAAAATATTTCAGATGTTGATTCTGAAACAGATTCTGATAATAGTGATAGTCATACTATGTAACGTAGTATCACTAGGATACTACGTTACATAGTATCACTATCACATTTTCCAAAACTTTCTTCAGAAGAGACTGATAAGAAAATGAGACGACGATGCTTCGTTTTTCACATTCCCGGAAAAATCCTCCAAAACAGCAAATGAACTATTACGAGTGCAAGGAATGTAACATGGGACTGTGTGTAGATCCCTGTTTTCAAATTTTTCATACGAAAAGAGAATTTTAAGTAATATATTTAGTTTTTAGATGTATAATGTTAAAAGTCATAAAATGGTGAGTAATGAAAATAAAATGTGTAAAATATGCATTTAAACAAGAAATAAGGTAATTAAAGTATATATATATATATCTATATATATAAAGCATAAGCCGTTTAAATACTCTATAGAGCATTATTAAACAAAGCGTTGATACTTCGGAAATTTCATGGATTTAGGCTTAATAGCAAAAAAGCCCTCGGCCCTGGACAGACGCTCACGTAAGACACTGCAGGCCTCCGCGATAAGCGCGTGTGTGTGTTACCCGGCGCGAAGGGATTAAAACAGGATTGTTCAGTTTTTTCATGTAAAAAGCTGCTTACGAATTAATATGGAGAATGTAGGTAAAAGGTTACGCCATAGTGTGTTAAATTGTGCTAAGAGAAAAAATTTTGAAAAGGTTCTTCAACCCTCTGAATGGCATGACCAGCTTTTCCATCCAGTCATGACATTTTTTGTCACTTGATGCATATTAGCTTATAACCTAAGATATTTTGCTTTCTTACTTTCTTTAGTAAATATAATCTTAATGAATGTATGTTTATGAAAATAAAGACTAAAATAAGTAATTATATAAATTTAGCTAATAAATGCTGCATAAATACAGGTCCTCATGACAAATCCTAAAACCTGTGCCACTCAGAGAGTTAAAAAAGGACATCTAAAATTTATACTTTGACATAAAGCAAAATAAAATAATTTTCATCAGTAATTTATTTTTCTTTAATATATGATAATTATCAAGCTGATATTATTATTGCTGATATAATACGAAGTCTGACATTATTTTTTGCACTCAATGAATATTTCCCTACTCTCTCTGGTATTCTGGTATCTTAAGCATACTTTCAGGAGCACCTGTATCATCAGTTCAAAATAGATATGAAAATCCTTTCATTAAACGTTTATTCAAAATTGTCTTTTGTTGTTGTTGTTGTTGTGTGTGTGTTTGACTTTTTCCTTATAGTTTAATTTTAAATCTTCAAAGCATCTAATGATGCAATGACCAGAATCAAGGTTAGCAAGTTCTGGAAGAAATAGGATTTTTCCATTAAAGTGAGAGAAATGGAAGGAACTATTTTTTAACTTATTTTATATTTGTATTAATAAATCTATATTTAATTTTTATGTAGCACTGGAATATTACTAATTTAAATACTGTAATTTCTGGAAGAAAGGCTGCATCAGCGTAAACACTGCACTCGAGAGAAAAAACTAAAATTACGCAGAAACGCTGCATTAAATTAAATTACACATGATGTCGTGGACCTTATAGATGCAAAATCTTCCCTTCTATCCTGATATATGACTTATCAATTAAGAAAAATACATGAAATGAAACCATAACTCAAGAATAAATTATAGGTAAGAAATTTTGAAAATATACGTACGTTCACGAATATACTTATACCCACTAAAGAAGTCCATATTTGTAATACTCATACTATATTATAAAACATACTGCAACAACGATATATTAAATTTAGATGATGGAAGGAAATTTAAATTTTACTTTAAAAAAAAAAAGAATTAAAGCAAACTGTACATCATATGAAGCCATCAAAATCTGATTCTTCACTATATGAATTAAAAAGATTTAGTAAATCCTGATCTAAATTGTCCAAGTCTTCCAGACTGTCACATTCATCCTCTTTGTTTATAGTCTCTTTATCTGAGGATATAATTTCAGCTTCTTTGAACCCTGCTGTTATTGATGATGTTTTCACTCATTTTCATGCACTTCCTACCCACTTTGCAACTTCTTTATAAAATGTTCCATGCATTTTGCTGCTTTTGGTATACTTATGCACTCCATTAAAGTGAGAGATTCATTCAACAATCCCATCATTTTCGGACTTTAGCTTTGAAGGTAAGATTTTTATCAGACCACCAGGAATTATTGCTAAGATCATAGACAGTTTTTGATATCTTGTTTTCACTGACTCAAGTAATGAGAACGCATGGAATTATCAACAACCCTTTTGGTTGGAAAAATGATCCCTTACAACACTGCCAAACTTTTTGTAGACACTCATGCATGATTGCTTCGCATATCCATCCATTCTCGTTTGCGCAAATAATTACGTCATTAGGAAAATATACACAAATAATTATGGAATAGTTTTCCTCTTAAAAATGATCATCTGCGGCACAGGCCAATACACATGTAAGTGACGTTCTTTCATGCCCTGTCATATGCAAGGATACAGTTTTTGCACCAGTTTTATCAGCTGTTCTGTTTGCAGGAGAGTTGATAAAAAGCTAATGGCGTTTCATCCATATTTATTATCTGTGATGAAAGAAGTTTTTGTCTGTCAATAATATCTGTCAAATATTTTAGAAAAGATGCATTTTTATCCTGCCAGTCCATTGGTAATTGCTGCCCAACTGTTGTTTTAGTTCGCACAGAAATATTTTTTCTTTTCATAGATCTGCAACTCCTGCTAGGCCCTCCTTTGAAATCATTTATGTTCATTTGTTTTGCCATAAATTTTGCTTGCAAGCGAATTATTACAGTCAAAATTGCCATTCCCTTTCTTCGTTGCCCCTCTATCCAGTTTGCAAGGTTGTCCTCTAGATTCAGCCAGATTACAGTGTCACTTCTTTTGGCTCATTTCTGTTGTGGCATATTTTTAAGTTCTTTTTCACTTCTCCAACATCAAATGCATCTCTTGTCCATTGTCAAGCTGCTGCGCTATTTCCAATTTGTTCAGCACGTCAAATTACATTAAGCTTGAAACCAGCAGTATTACTTCTGTGCTGTTTAGCTGCCATTTTCAAAATTTTTCCGCTCCCTTCTTACTTAAAAACTACTCAAGAAAAATCGATTTGTGCTGAAAGAGGAATACGTTAGAGTTCCTTATTGCAGCGCATGTGGAGTCGTATCTGACTTTGAAAAAAATCGCAGTAGATTTACAATGGAAAAGGCAGAGGGAGGAAGAGGATAAGTTCTGGAAAATTCATCCAGTGGCAGAAAAGAGAGACTATTCAAACTGATGAGAATGCTGATTTAAAAGAGGGGAAAATGTTATTGTTCTGCGATCTCAATTAGGGTGGATAAGACAGGTAGGTCCATTTAAGGGAAAGAATGTAAACAAAATAAAGTTTGCAGAAAGCAATTGAGCGGTCTTTTGTGTGGGAACAGCAGCAAACTATGTACAATTACATCATGGGAAATATTTTTCTTAATTGCACCTAAACACTGCATGGGTAGAAACGCAGCCTCTGCTGAAAATTTAAGTTTTAAAAGTGTAAACACTGTGGCGTTTCTTCCGGAAATTACAGTATTTTCATCTCCTATACAAATTTTCTAGTCTTATTTATATACTTAAAATAACCTTATAATTTCTGTTATTTCATATGATGTATCATTTGGATTATCTCATAATTTAGCATTAAAAAATCTTTTATATAAAATTTAAGAATATGAATTAAATTTTATAATAGATTTTAATTTAGAATTTTTCAAAAATGTAAATTTAAGTGTCTTGATATTTAAAAGGCAGTGTTTTCTGTTAGATTTTTTGAATTCATATGTTGCTTTTTTAGTTCAGTTTTATGTGGAAGTTTTACATTCTAGGCTCAAGACTTTTTGATGCAGTATCCTTTTCTCTTTTTTGATGTTGTATATATTCATGAGCCGCCATCTGAAGAAAACAGGTGTCAGGTATGCATATTGTTATTTATATATGTATTCCTTATATACGAGGGCCATCCAGGAAGTAGATTACGTTTCCGTCTGTGTCCGCTAGGGGCGGGGCTAGCGCGGCCATCTTGGGGTCAGAGCGTTGCGCAGCTCAGTCTGCATCTAGCCGTGCTAGTGAGAGGTTCGTGCTGTGCTCCGTTCAGATACTGTGACGGTTTGAAATGTCTGCGTTAATTGAAAATCCCGCGAGGTGCGCTCAGTAATAAGGTTTCTGACTGCAAAAAACTGTAAACCGATAGAAATCTATCGGCAGCTTCGTGAAGTGTATGGGGACAACATTATCACTGAAGGTGGAGTGCGTCAGTGGGTCATAAGATTTCAAAATGGCCGAACCAATGTTCACGACGAAGATCGAAGTGGGAGACCCCACCCAGCATAGTGACCGCCGAACTTCTCGAAAAAGTCGATGCTAAAGTCCGTGAAAATCGAAATTTCACAATAACGGAACTTTCTTTGAGTTTTCCACAAATTTCGCGAAGTTTGTTGCACGAAATCATCAGCGAAAAGCTTGGTTACCACAAGTTTTGTGCAAGATGGATTCCAAAAATCTTGACAGAGGACCACAAAAATCAGCGAATGGCTGCAGCAGCGTTGAACTTTTTGGACGCTTACCATAAGGATGGTGACTCTTTACTCGATCGCATCGTTACTGGTGACGAACATGGGTGAAACATGTGAACTGTGAAACGAAATTGCAATCAATGCAGTGGGGGCACACAAGTTCTCCCCAAAAACCCAAGAAATGCATGCAAACAATGTCGGCAAGGAAGATGATGGCGACTGTTTTTTGGGACAGAAAAGGGTGTAATTTTGGTGGACTTCCTGGAAAGAGGCACTACAATAAACTCTCAAAGGTATTGCCAAACTCTCCAAAAACTCAGAAGAGCAATTCAAAACAAGCGCAGAGGAATGTTGAGCTCTAAGATCTTGTTGATTCACGACAACGCCCGGCCCCACACGGCAAATGTCACTCGTAAAGTTCTTGAATCTTTTAAGTGGGAGTTGTTTCCTCATCCGCCGTACAGTCCCGACCTGGCACCGAGCGACTTCCACCTATTCCCAGCAATGAAGAAGTGGCTGGCTATGCAGCGTTTTGATGACGACGCGCACAGCTGCAAGAAGAGGTAACGAAGTGGTTGAAGGCGCAGGCGGCCGAATTTTTCGACGAAGGAATTTCCAAGCTCGTACATCGCTACGATAAATGCCTTAATTTGTATGGTGACTATGTAGAAAAGTAGTATTTGAGTGTGGCTTTCATCTGTATATAATAAAATTTGTTTCCCATACTTTGTTTATTTTTTTATTCCAAAACGTAATCTACTTTCTGGATAGCCCTCGTATTCATGACATTTTTATTAATCATAGCATTTATGTAATAAATTAGAAATAAAGTAAAGTTTATTTGCATTTTTTCTTTCTTGATAAATTTACATCTGAAATTTTATCAGCAAGAAATGTGTTTTCAAATTGAGAATTTTTCTTTTTTTATTCAGGTTTTTAAATTGAAAAAAAATGTCTGTCTGTTCAACTAAAACTTTTTTTTTGTTTGTTTGTTTGTTTGTTTTATCTTTTGAAGTTGTGTAAGTCATAGTATTTAAGGACTTAACGAAGAATTTTCATCATTAAATATGCATCTGATTTCACCAATAAAAAAGTTTTCTTAAATCATAAGAGAAGATGAACAGAGTGTAAAATTATCGCTGCTGTGTAAGCTGTTAACTTAGAATTTTTGCATTTGCAAGAAATATTTCTTATTCTGTAATTAAAATTTTTCATTTGAGAGAAATACACTCACTTCCAAAAGTTAAGCACCGAGAGGAAAATGCTAATGAAGATGCAATTCGCTGCAGAGGTAGATGGAAGTATGCAAATATGTTAGGTAACAGCCAATTGCGCTTTCATGTCAAGAAATATGCAAAAAAGGCAGTCTGATAAGAAGCCAGCTTTATGAAGGGTTACAGAATTTGATTGTAAGTGCTAGTAGAAGGTGTTTAAAACTTTTGTACAATTTGTTTTCAAAACATATGTTTCTATGACTTCCGGAAGACGAATAGAAGATTCTGAGCACTGGCGTGCTGTGGGGACTATAAAGCAGGACAGTCTATCACAGATATTGCTCTTTTCTTCGGTGTTCATCATTCTGTAATTTCACGTGTATGGAAGCAATTCCAAACGACACAGACAGTTGTCCAAAGACCCATAGCCGTTTGCCCAAGGGTGACAACCCCCGCGGAAGATCGATATATTGCTATTGTAGCCAAGCGGAATCGCAGAGCGACCTCCACACGTGTGGCATCTATAATTACAGCATCGATTGGTAAGGCGATATCTGCAGCTACTGTACGCCAAAGCTTACATATGAGTGGAATGTACGCCCAGGTTACCTCAAGTTTGTGTTCCTCTATCCGTCCAATCAAGAGGGGCGCGATTAAGTGGTGCCGGGAACATGTCAATTGGAATGTGTCTGACTGGGGCAATGCCATGATGTTTACTGAGGAGTCAAGATTTGCTCTGGAGCCAGATGACAAGTGTATAAGGATATGGCGTGAACAACAAACAGGCAATCAGTCCCAAAATATCACAGAACATCACGCATTCTGAGGCGGAAGCATTATAGTGTGGGCAAGTATTTCATTAGGATACCGCACTAATCTGCACATCTTTAAACAGGGTTCTTTGACGGCTATCCAGTATCGAGATGAAATCCTAGAACCCATTGTGAGATTCTACACTGCAGCAGTTGGCCCTTCTTTTGTTTTAATGGATGATAACGAGCATCCCCATAGAGCTGACATCGTCGATGACTACCTGGAAAGTGAAGAGATTGTGCATATGGCGTGACCAGCATATTCACCTGACCTTAATCCCATTAAAAATCTTTGGGATGCTCTCGGCCATGCTGTATCTTCACGTTTCCCTCCTCTAGCCACTCTTATTGAGCTGGAAACTGCTGTACAAGAAGAATGTCGATTGCTTAATTCTGCGGTGGTTGACCACCTAATTGAAAGCATGGTCACAAGGTGTAAACTTTGTATACAGATGAGGGGGGGGATAACATACCCTATAAAGTGTCCTTTTTTTTTTTTTTTTTTTTTTTTTTTTTCATTTTATGCTGTTTATTTTCACTTTATACATAATTATGTTTAAGTCTACAGTATGTCATTATCTGATAACTTACAAAAATTTAATACTGTTTTCATATATGTATATAATTATTGATTTTGTTTTATGCATAAATATATATGCTGCTTTCTTGCCGAATTTTGTGTCAATCAAAGCAGTATTTGTTGACTTTTTTACATTTTACATCTTCGTGCTTAACTTTTGGAAGTGAGTATATATATATCTTTATAAAAAGTTTGAGATTATATATATGACTTTTAGATAATATAAAATTTTTTAAATAACTGCTATAAAAAAGTTTTTTAAGCTATAAAAAATTTTTAAGATTAAATTTTGCAAGCAGATCTGAATATATCGTTGTGTAATGCGTAAATACTATCAGTCTAGTGTATAATATTTGAAGTTTTGTTCTAGATTTTACAAGAAAAAAAGTGAGAATAAATTTACTGTTACCTGCTTGGCAAATGATTATTCTTTAAGTCAATGCTCTTAATATTAGGTTATTTAATTTAAACAATGTACATGTTGGTTATTTAGCCAAACTGTATTGTAGTTTTGATCAAGCAACCTCTAATGTACATGAGATAAGAAATGTATTTTACTAGTTGCAATAGTAGTTCATAAAATTATCAGTTAGATATAATGCTTTGTACTGCAGATTTGATTCTCAGTTTCTTCTGACCTAATATATTGTGTGGTAACTGTAATTGTGTAGTTGTGTGGTAATAAATATAAGAATTAATTAATGCTTGTGATCCATTTTGTTTTTAAGTTGTTAGTTTTGTTGCATTGATGAGCAACTTATCTGAGATCTTAGGCTTGGCAACAGCTCTAAAAATTAAGACTTGCTTGGCTTCGTGACATTAATATGTGATAGGGCATGGAAGGACTAGAAGAATAGTTTTCGACCTTTTCTATTCCATGCCATTTATCAGAATATCACCCTTCAATTTTTTTTTATTTATTTTATTTAAGAACATTTCAAATAACATATAAACTTGAAGATGGAATATATTTTATTTCAGTTCATTGTAAATTTAATGTTTATTGTATATAAAAAATGCATGTATGACTTATGTTCATTAATGTATGAATTACTATTATATTTAATAAATATATGTAAGAAAAATAAAGAATATGTAAAAGATTAAATTAGCAACGTAAATTTCCCTTCTCTAGTTCTAAAAATAGTAACCTCTATTTGCACTGCGTCATTTCGAGACTAATCTATGTCATATGATTCTTACATAATTCTGATGATGTAAATGAAATTAAAATTCAAGCAACCAATAATAATTTTACAGAAATATTAACTATCCAATCAAAATGCATTGAGAACTAAAACTAACTCAGTCTGAATTAAGATTTTACCCTGAACATAACGCACTTGCTTTCAACGCTTTGGCCTAGCTGGACTGCTGTCTATCTGCTCCTTCTATCTTACTTCAAATTTTTCTAAAATGTAAGCTTTTTGGATGAGGCACAATTAATGTGCCAACTTGATTGTGGCCACAACATGTTTGCTGAAATAAAAAATGAAGATGTGATCTGATTTTGCGTCCAATTTCCTATTCATTATGGATGAACACTTCAACGCCATCAAAATTGCTGCTGGTCATTACTTCTGAGTTTGTTTTTCTCACACACACACACACATATATATATATATATATATATAAGGAAGTATTTCTATTGGTTTATCTGTGCATATATGAGGCTTCTTTAAAAATTTTTTAGCCTTTAACTGTATTTTTTTATATGTGTCATAAATTTGTGCAAACTTCAAAAATTTATAATGAAAGAAGTAATGCTTGGGGGAAAAAAATCGGTTTGCACAA